ACATAAAAAAATAAATATATTCATTGGTACAATCATAATCAAACTAAAATACATTTTTTTATGTTTTTAACAAAGTGAAAAAGTATCAAATGTGGTATTATTTAAAATCTTGTTGCACAAAWATACAATATTAGTTTAAACATAAATTGTCATTACTTTGATATTTTCTTTCCATAATTTTGATTCAACAATAAAATATCACATTAATATCAATATTTTATTAACTAAGTTTTTTTTAACAACTTAGTTAATAAAATACTATTTTTAATTCTAAAAATTTTTATTTATTTTTTATCAAAAGAGTAAAACCAATATGAAAAAATGTATAAATATACCATATTGTTTGAATAATAGTTACTCTAAAAAATTTTTATATTTTACATAAAATAGTGGCAAGAATATCAGTTTCATTAAAATTATTAAAAAAATGGAATTAATAAAACTATCATAAACTATGAAAAATGAAAAACATACAGATACAACTTTTGTTTTAATTAAAGATATTTTAAGTTCATTTAATTTGTTTATGTATTTTAAATACAGTAAAATTGTAATACTTTAAATATTGTCAAAATWCATTTTTATAACCTAAATAATAATAAGTTTTCAAAAATCTCTTAAAGCATCAACAGGACCTACAGTAGCACAATTCTAATATTTTATTTGTTGGTATATTTCATCCATTAACTTCAACCAAYATTATGTATATACATAAAWATACCTATCTAATCATGAATAATTTTAAGTAAACAGTAGTGAACTTTAGTAGATATAACTTTCATCTATCCCCCTAATCTCGAAATTATTTTATTAGCAACAGTTAGTTTTTATTTAAGAATCTTTGGCGAAAAGAATTTATGATTTATTCAAGAGTTATTCAGTTAACTGTATTTTAAATAATTTTAGTGTTGTACATAACATTTTTATAGATAAACTTAAAATCTTATTTTCATTCTTCCAAATAATAAAATTGATGTTGGTGAAAACAGATCAATATTCATAATTTAATTTAATACTATTATAACAATGTAAGTATTCTATTGATAGTGTAAAACTATATTAATTTATCAAACTATTTTATCATTACCAATCCCATTATCCTACAAAATATCACAATTATTGGCTTTGAAAGATCATCGAAGGTATTAGAAGAATAGTAAACAAAAATAAAGGAGTTATATTCAGCTTTAGGTTAGAGTACTTATTTGACACTTAAAATAATACTTTTTCAAAGTAATGAATATCAGYATTATCAGCTGCTATATATTCACAAACTGGTCATAGCAGGTGGATGAGCATATGCTTTAGGTATGAAACCATATTTTCTTGTTTTAGGAGCATAAGTCCATAACCACCCATCGACCATTTGATTGTCGAGATCTGCATATATCCATTCGCCACGCTTAACTGATAGATCATCTGGGGCTTGAGGCTACAAAATTATCCAAATGATAAGAATTGAGCAATAAAAAAGTTTAAGCTTAAATAAAAATGAATATAACATACCTTATAATCATAAAGCATTACCATTTCAGTACCATGAATTGCTGGATCGTCATCAGCCACACAAGAGTTTTTTCGTGGCCGTGCTCGGGTAACTGGAGGTAGTCCAGTATTAGTAGTACTAGCACACTGATTATTATTATTCATTTGATTTATATGTCCTATACAAATATCAATAAGTTACTTAAATAATATTGCAATGTGGTACGTTATTAATTTAATATACCTTGTATTATATCAGCTGGATATACAAATCCACTAGGAACAAATCCTTCCTGTCCATCACTGCGAATAATCCAATACCAATCAGGGTCTTCTCTGTTTAATACAGTCACAAATTCTCCTCTCTCAACACTAACATCATTTTCATCTCTCGCTATGAAAGTGTATAAAACAATGTAACGTCCTGCAGGGTCCTAAATATTTGATAAATACTGTAGATATGTCATGTCAAATTGAATTATTTAAAATTAATTCTTGTGTTTTACGGTGATACCATGCTATAAAATATTGATTATATAAAGCCTACCTYCACCAATGTTAAATGATAAACTATTTTTATACTTAAATAAAKAAAATTATATTTAAAAATTACTTTGAAAAATGGTCGAATCTCAGGATGTGATGATGCACTTAATAATGATGCTCTAGAGCTACTAATGTTCTGTTTGTTTTGATTTTTGTGATCTTGGGTTTTTCCAAAACTTTCACAGTCAGATAAATCACCACAATTGCCTAACAATTGAACAAAAACGATAATAATTATGTTATAGATAATATTTTAAATGCTAATTTATTATACAAACCATGTTTTTGTTGCTCATTGATTTCAACTTCAACAACAGTTTCAGTTGGCGTGGCAGCTGGTGCACGTGGTAATTTCTTTTTGACATTATTTAAAGCTATTTCACCAAGTTGTGAATTATAAGGTGTACAATATGAATGAGGTATAAAACCTTCTTGACGACTATCCTCTGCAATTACATATACCCAGTCGTTCTCTCGGTATAGGATGTTGACGACCTAGAAAGAAATAAATGAATAATTTTTGTTTAAAGGAAAGATAAAAAAAAAAAATTATATTTTTTTGATATTTAACTACATGCCTAATTTTTCAAGTTATCTAGATAATCTAAAAAAATCATAAATGCATATATTTTGTTATTTAATTTTGAATTGCTTAGTTTGTAATGGATAAATTATACACAATATAATTTAAAACAACTAAAATATAATAAGCATCATAAACTAATTATGCTTATCAACATTTTGAAAACAAACTTTTATAGTACTGGGAYATTACATTAAACTATTACACAAAAATTAGAGGTAGAAAAAACTTTTTAACAGATGATGAAATAAATACATAACTCATAAAACTAATATACCTAATACTTTCATAACATAATTAAACTTCATAATTTTCTTCAATGAATAATATTTCAAAACATAAAATCAGTATATTGATGAATAATGAAATCCAAGAAAATTTCCAATCCAAAAAGTATTTAATTACTACAATTATTTGAGCTATTTCTATCTACCTACTTCATAAATCAGAAAGGCGAAAAAATTAAATTGAGCATTGAGCAACACTTTAGATTTATAATATGGACTAAAAGTTTAGTCACTAGTCCTCAGATATTATGCGTATTTAACACATTCTAACCTGGCCTCGTTTCACAGTCAGCTCATCATCGACGCACGGTGTGAAATCGTGAAGTACAACCATTTTGCTATCAGGCGACAAGCCGTTTTCCTTCTCGATCCCAACACGCACCAGTGTCTCAATGGATGCACTKCCAGTAATACGTCCCATACCTGGAACTGGTCCATTAGCGTTGGTTCCTCGTAGCACTTCTTTATCCAAGTCGCTTGTAGAACCACCTGCAAAAAGCATTTAAAGCACTATTGAATGATTACACTAAGGAATATAAACCAAAAGGCCTCAGTGAGAAGGATAAATTCTGCTGTAAGTGATGGCAGCTCAAAGAGTTTGGTATTTCTAATGATTGTTGATCATACTTTTTTTCTTCTTGCCTCGGCGTATTCTCACGGGACACAGGAAAGCCATTATTGTTTATTGGCCACAACGCATGCTAATCTTGTAACTGGTTTCCAAGGTCTATATGACTATATCCGTTTTTCCGGTTCAGGAAAACCATGTAACCACGAAATGAWACACAAAACATACAGAGCAAGAGCTGMACAAGCCAACTTACAGGACACTGTCACACTGTCAATTATTTATTGACTATCAATCATCATTATTATTATCCGACAGCAGTGGCGGCGGTGGCGCCGGCGGTCGAACAGGTTCTGGAATGGTGATAATTATTATTATGACCCAGTGTGGCCATATTTGAAAACCAAATTCAGCGGCTGATGAGTATAAAAATCATTACGTTTATGTTAACGCTGCAGCATCAACATAGGAGTTCGATTCAAATTGTAATTTGTATCTTCACCACAGGAGACAGGATATTAAAYRATGAGCCTATTACTTATTAAGGTMTTTAGATATATGAGCTGTGGTCGTCATYCAACCAATCTTTGTTCTTTTTATATTATATAATTAGTAATTACAGAGCCAAGGTGGATTCATAGAGTAAATACTAGTAATTGTTCATATTATAGTATTTTAACTCTATGAGCGAATTTAATATAACATGTAAGCAAATAGCCTCAATTTATCATCTAAGTTGAACTGCAAAAGTAACACAAAAATTTGCTGGACAAAAACCGGTTTAAAATTAACCCACAATATCCAGCACGGAAATAATGAACTATGAATTTATTATACTAAATAAATAATTAACAGTAATTATCACTAACTAGTAACTGTATATCCATATATATATATATAAATCCATTTTCTTTGTCTATGCATAGAGTAATAATAGTAATATCAGATTCATAGAGTAACAGCAGATTACTCTATGATCAGATTTTATACAATTTAATAAATTGAATTTATATCTATAGATATATTCTAAAGACTATAACACGGTTTAAGATATAGAATATATATCTTATATATCTTATATATTATCTAATATATCTTAAACCGTGGACTATAATAATCAAGTATGCACTTTCATAGTCTCGTGTGTGCACCAAGGACGTTACGAAAGTTTCGCTGTCAATTGCATATCAGTCTTCTTTGGTTACTTAACATTCCAACGCAAGTGATGACGTAGCGTCGATTTTATGTTTATGTACACCGTTATTGATAATAATAATCAAAACGTGTCACTACTCGCTAATAATTAAACTTACCGAGTGACGAGGCGACCAACGCAGCACATATTACATTGTAAACTCGTGARGCGACCTCATTAACATTTCACTTCTCGAATATCTTTCAACCTTCACTACCGTCACTCATCGTTCTCTCAAGTAAGCTGATTCGATTAAAATATTGTTAAGTATACTAACTGAGATTTTATTTTATCCACAAAGAACAGAAAAATAACATGGATCAAGTAACTAAAGTGTTGGAACCCGGACGCCAGTTTTCCAAAGACTCRGTTAGGCTGGTAAAAAGATGCACTAAACCCGACAGGAAAGGTAAAAGCGATTTGTATTCCATTTAATTGTAATTTTTTCATTTACGTAATTTTATTTTGTTTTACAGAGTTTCAAAAAATCGCAATTGCTACGGCCATCGGTTTTTGCATAATGGGTTTTATTGGTTTCTTTGTCAAACTTATTCACATACCCATCAACAACATCATTGTGTAAGTACAATTTATAATTAAAATTTTATTTTTAAATAATTACGGGTTTTTCTAATCTAAAGTTAATAAAAGCCCAAATATCAACAATACAATTGTAATTCGCCTTTAAGTGTCATGTATTTAGATAATAAATTCAAAATACAATTCTGCAGTTTAGAATACTGAATATTAATAATAAAAAAAAAAAAGTAATATAATTTGAGCATCTGGATGCCTGTATTCGTTATATCCATGATCCATCTTATCAATGTGCAACATATCAAATTTGCATTCTSCACAATCTATTTTGTTACTTTGAATATTACACTAAATACCAAACTTATCTTAGGTATTATTAAATTTGAAGGTATCCATATTGTTTTCTTCACGAMATTTTCATACTTTAATTTTAAAGTGAGTAATAAGGACCTGTGTAAAATATTGAGAATTTAAAATGTTCTTAACTCGCTTATAATTAAAATAACATATATAATTCCAAAGATAGCACATGAATAATATTTGTATCTTTAAATTGTATAAACCAATTTACTATAATTTTAATACTTATGAGTTATGACTCTAACTCAATGTCATTCAATTCAAATTTATTAAGTTGTACATTTGCAAGCTGAAAATAACACATGTGTACATCAACTTCTATATACAATGTGCWTGATATAGTTGAAAAATAAACATCAATTAGATAAGCTCCTATTAAGATTTATTTATGATTTAAGAGGACGTTTCACCCGCATGTGTTGTCTCTGTCTTACAAGTACATAACATTGCAAAAAATGTTTCGCGCGGAAAAGAACCGAGAAAGCTACAGTTATAACTAAGAGACGAAATGTTCACCACATAAAAAGTAGAATTTTGTCCGTGCAAAATCGTTTTTATTTTTTCGATATCAGGACTAGAAAAAAAGTTATTCATGCTTAAAAAACACAAAATTAATATATTATAAAACAATAAGAATTTTTTTTTGTGTAAGTGATATCGAAAAAATAAAAACGATATTGCACAGACAAAATTCTCCTTTTTATGTGGTGAAAATTTTGTTTCTTAGTTATAACTGTATCTTTCTTGGTTTTTTCTGCGCGAAACAGTTTTTGTAATGTTACGCACTTGTAAAATGGAGACAAYAAATGCGGGTGTAACGTCCTCTTAAGCAATTAAGTATTGCTTGCAATAATCAACACAATAGAACTAAATTAAAAAAACAAAAAATAGTATTATTTTAATGGAGGTGTGAAGAATAAAAATAAATTTGTACCCCAGATTAAATCATAGTCTACTAAGATTAGTTAGATTATTTATTAGTTCTATAAATAATTATTTATTTATTTTAATTAGGTATATCAATCTTGTAATTTGCCATATAATAAATTTTGTTCAACACTTAGATATATCAACATGTCATTTCATTAATCTAATATATTTGTATTTTTTTTTTTTTTTACAGAGGATCATGAATTGTTAGCAGATCAGCTCCTTTATTTCCTTAAAAAAAAACAATATATCTTGATAAAAAGATGTGTGTAGTTCACAATATTTTTGTTTTTATACTGTGTATTAAATATTTGTGAACAATATTTGTGTTTCCCTTGTTCATTTTAGTAAATAGAGTTTATATTATATTTATCTAATGTTTCTAAGTATAAATTATATTAAAAATTTATAATAATGTAATTGACATGTAAAATATAAAATACTTTATTATGAACAATAAAAAAAAAAATCTTTCCATTTAAATTTATTTTACAAATTGTATAATTTAAACAGATAAAACATATAACACTCATCACCTTGCAACTTCCAGTTGTTTTACTAATTTAATTATTATGAAGACCCAAATATTGATGTTCCGATTATATAAACTGGACGGTTTTTATATTTCTTTGATATATCAAATTCAATCTGAAATAAATATTCATATAATAATACATTAATCAATTCTTATTTATATAGTTATTGTAGATTATAATGTAGTAAAACAAAAATGTTTGAGAAATAATATGATTTAATTTTATAAGTACTTCAGTTATTAATTGCTTGTTTTTTTGTTGTATTAACTTCAGCTTTGGAACCAATTGATTATATTCTTCAGCTAATTCTTTTTTTTTATTAGATACTGCTATTTGAGAATTAATCATTTTCTCAACATTGCTAACTTTTTGAAGAAATGTTGACTCCAGTTTGTTAAGATATCTAATAAAATAAAAATAAATGACATATTTATTCAGATCAAGTATATAGAATAGTAGAAAATAGCTGCAGCTGTCTAGTCTGTTCAAAATGAGATAGTTTACAAGTGCACAGGTGCCACCTACAGCGCATGGGCATTGCTTTGTTCTGTARCATGGATTGAGGTCAGTGTCGGCCTGACCATAGCCGCTAGGCCGCAAACACATCAGGGGCCCCCCGGCTGTATTTGTGTCGAGCGGCCCCGATATTACTAAAAATATAATATTTCACTACTTATAAGCATTTTTTATCATTTTYATTTAATAACTTGTTTGGGGGTTCTTCTGAAGAAATGCATCCGAGGCCTTTTAAGTACCAGGCCGACACTGATTGAGGTGGTCTTCATGCTGTCTTGTACTRATCTCATTATGAATAGAGTATAGACCGAGATTCTGAGGCATTATGATATATTATATTATATTTTATTCTCTTATTTATTGATGGTAGTGGTTAGATCACTTTTGATACAGCTAATTTTATGCTAACATAATTAGGCACAGAATACAAAAATATGGTAATAATGTTGAAAATAAGCAACAAAGTTAAGAGAATTAAAATTTTTTTTAGTGATCCACTTGCTGCTTTGGGCTCACTTTAAAACAGCCCTTACAGTTTATTGAATTTACCTTGGTGAATGTTTAATTTGCTGCAAATGTTGGAAAACTGGATCATTAAGCTTTTGCTTGATTACTTTTATAACATCCAACATAGAGGCTATTTCAGGTTTAGACTCATTGATTTCTCCACCAGAATGGACTGATAATGCAGAATTTGTTTCATTTGATAATTCGAGCAATCGCATACTTAGAAACGATTCTAACTATAGTAAAATGGCAACAATATAATTCTATTACATAACAAAAATGTTWTAGTTTGAGATATCTCACTTCTAAAATATCATTCATAAATTCATTTCTCGTCTGAAAATTATCTAATAAAGTCAAAGCCTCGTTGCCCCTGGCTATACTACCATCAGTTTGCAGATTTTCAACTACTATTCCACTTTCTTCTAGAGAAATACCATAATCAATGTCCTATATAAGCAAAMATTTATCATTAATTACAAAGTGATAACTGAATTATTTCATATAAGTTGCATACTTCAGATGGATTCTCTAGGTCACCCCAGTCAATTTCTTCATCCGCAGTGGTATCCTATAAAATATTTATTAAATGACATATATATATATATATATAACCTAACCTAACACAAAATTATAGATATACTTTAATATCTTCTTCAATTGTTAGCACAGACTCTTCTATTTTACTTGGTTTTTCCCCATACAGATATTCGTAATAGGTAGTATTGCCATTATCTAAAAGTATTTACTATTTTAAACTTCATGATCAAATAATTTAAGAAATAAAACAATAATTACTTAAAATATATTGAAGCATCGTTAAATTAATGTCTGAACCTAGAATATTTGCTACAAACAACGAAAAATATGAATTGGCTTTTTTTAAATTTTTTATATGTTCAGTAACATCATCATAAACTTTTTGGAGTTCATTTAAYCGTCCTATAAGTGTGCGTTTAAAACTGTTGTCATCAACTATAGAAAACTGTTTYCGCATCATTTCCAAATCTTTTTTACATGTTTGGATAGATTTAGTGTAATCTTCAATCTTTTTATCGCAATCCTATACAAAATCTATAGTCAGCTTGTTACTTACAAAATTGAAATATTATTACGTTTTAGAAAATTTTAATAGTTTACAGTTTGTCCAGATTGTAATTTAGCTATTTGCTTCTTAACCGAGGGTATGTGATATTTGATGTTTTGTACGAGAAGATCACAAGCTTCAGCCAGATAAATATTGTCTTTCAAATACAGTTTTTCGATTTCCAACCAATCCTTCATCCTCTGTGAACCATATGATCCAAACAAATTTTTAGTATCAGCTTCAGTTTCTTTTAATATTTCAATTATACGTTTACAATAGAAATAATTGATATCTAAACAAAAATATAACAGAATTTAAATAAATACTAACCCAAGGCTTATAACACTTATAAATTATAATACTTACATGCCCCAGACAACAATTTTACGATCTCATTATTTTCAGGCATATCTTGTATAGCTGCATTTATTTTCTGCCTTATGGGTTGTATGTGTGAATGCCAATTTTTTTTACAATGTTTTCTGCTTGTTAGCCATTCGCTTAGTTTTTGWGCATGTATTTCAATCGGAATGGAACTTTCCTAATAGTACAGAAAATAAGTACGTAAAAAAGTTCCAAAACTAGACGAGTATTAATAATTTAAAAATTAGTTCACTCACCATATTTTCAGAAATAATAATAATATAAAATTATTTAGGTGTGTAAGTCAAGTTCCAAAATTAAGAGTAAAGAGTGACTGACTGAGCAAGAGGAATTGAAGAATATAATGTAGGGCAATATAATATGATAACGTTTCAAACTTTCGAAACAGAGGCTGACATCAGTACACGTCTGTTATATTCGCATTCACGTCCCATACTTTTATGGTAACATGGTAACTAATAACTCCAATTACTTGGTGACTCCCGAGTACTGACTTGTCACTTGTCAGTATTTATCATAACAAACAAATTATATAGGTATATCATCACAGTTTTTTGATACGCATTCTCTGCTCTTTACTTCGTAGTTCTCCACTTCTTAATCTTATTGACCGTCAATCACATACATACATATTTAACATAGAATAAAATCAACCAATGAGAAGTGGAGAACTACGACATTGGTTGGAGGTGAAGGAGATGCGCATACTGAGCAAAACTAGTAATACGGTAATACCACAGAATATATTATTAAATCTATTCTGTGGTAATACTGTGATAGTGTGATGTTACCGGACATATCTAATTTTTCATGGTATTTATTATTATCTAAGTACACGCTTATCATCAACTTACTGCAACGTGTTGTTTGTATTTAAAAAAAAATGTGTGGTCGGCACATGATATTTTATCAATAGAAACTCCCAATATAATTGTATTCGAGTTCTTTTATATACCAGAATAAAAAGTTAATACCATGGTTATAGATAGACAGTAGAACGTTTGTAGGCTCAACAGTCAAGTGGTCTATTTGATTATAGTTTATAAATAGGTAATTACAAATTTCATTTTAAAATRTTGTATATTATATAGTTAAAACAAATTTCAAAAACAAGTTTTTTTTATTTTTTTATGAAAATAGGCTGAAAAAGGKAATGGAATAGCAAAATATAATTATTATATATGTAGATATATGTAGGTATATACAATATACCTATCTATAATAGTTTAATAGCCATAACTTCACTTATTTTTAATTAAATAATTTTTATAAGCTGCACTTGGTCAAGTTTCTTTTTCTTTTTGGTCATTTTAGTTCGGATGGAAAAATGCATACAATTAAGATATGCATTAAACCTATGCATTCATCCATTCATGTCATCAAAAAGCAACAGATTGTATTTTATTTTAATAACCTATAAATAGGTACCTAACACACAAATTACAAACAGTTTTGTTTTTTTATCACGTTCGTCAGATTTCCGTAGGACATGGCGTTATATGTAGGTATATCACTATATTATTCTATGATATCGCGGATTATTTTTCAAATAAACATAAGGCAAAATGTAATCCAAAATCTCAAAAAAAAAATAAATACCTTTTTAATAAGCCAYAAGCGCAAATAAATTTCACAAAAAGAAAGTGTTTTTTGTCAAATCATATATTATTTATTAATTAGACTTTACTGCAGTGATATTAAAACGAGTTAAAAAAGTTTTAATTGAAATTAAGTATTAGTAGGAAWTTGTATAATTCTAATGAAAGCAATCATTGAAATATCGAAATCCATAATATATTGAAGGAAAATTTATCGAAATTATTTGTTTTCTACACGTAAAATTCGTATTTTTTGTAATTGGCGAAATTTTACTTTAGATAAATAACCAATAACCGCTAGTGATATTTTACTTTAGTGGGGTAAAATATCACTGAGGTTACACCGG